AATTCAGCATGCAAGTTTAACCTTTAAAATCGTTTTAGTTTCTTTATTTATACCTTATTTTCGGTTATAGTTAGTGTAGTTTTTGCCTTTGTACGTTCACATTAGTTTATTTAGTTATACAATCATTATTTTCAGTTTACGAGAGTCAACATACCTTGTGCAGAAATAAACGAGCATTAATCGGAACTTTCATCGCCCTCTGTGGTCGCATTCTCCGTAAAATACTTCTCTCCGAAGCCCGACACTTCTCGATTCGTCTGTGATTGTCGTAGCTTCAATTACACAGCTGTCATTATGTCATTTCTTTTTTAAAACCGATAGATCCAGTCGATATTTTGCTGTTGTTTATATGTTTCTACATGTAACTAATCAAAATTAAACATTGCAACTGATGGAATTCGTAATACTTCCTTGTAAGCATAAGTTTGGGTTATTTTATTTGTAGTTAGCGCATTATTATCTCATGGATAGTTTCCCATTATGGTGCCCGCAGTTTCAAAGTGTTTGTAGCTAATACATGTATTAAAGAAACATTGCTCTACACTGTCAGCTGTCTGTCAACCAAGTCAGTTCGCCAACAGAACAGTCAGGGAATGGAATAGTCGCCTCTCTGATGTTGTAACCTCAGAATATTTACAAATTTTTAAGTCCAAATTGAGCAATTACTTATTTATTTTTATCATTATTATTATTGTTGTTGTTTAATTTACATATTTTTTTAGTTTTCTATTACAATAGATGTTAACTGGCACTACTTTACAATTTTTATGTAAAAGTTAGCGTGATAACTGCATATACAGCTGTAGTTTCTTCTGACTTAATAAATGTTGATGTAGATGTAGAAACCAACAGTCAGCTAACAGATGTCCAACTGAGTCAGTTCGTTACTGCTTGCAGGGTCCGAAATCTATTTGACGAAAACTCAATTTCGACTAAATTGTAAGCTACGTGTTCTTCTATGCCTTCACACTTGGAGTCTGACTCTTACGATCGTTCAGGAGTAGGAATATTTTCATGCAAAGAAATATCTTCAAAAACTACGCATTTTTGTGTTTTGCTGTGAAGGAAAAATCTTATTGATACTTTTTGGCGACCACATTTGGCTTGATTTCCATTTAACAAAACATTTATAATAAGGCTGTATCATTTGACTGCTAACGAGGTGTCATGCAGAACAGCTAAATTAGATCAGGCTCTGTGTGACAGAAGGGGCCTCATTTAACAGTGCAAGACTCCTGTCTCATTTCATATCGAGCGACTGAAATTACTCTGTCCCTTTAGTTGCACAGTATTAATACTGTAACAAATGATGAGAAGTAAAACTCACTACCAGAATGTTCACTTTCATTGCTCATTTGAAGAAAAGAAACTTGATTGTTTTTGTCATTAACTTGTAGCTAGGGCTGTACCATTTTTGCGATATGGCCCTTATACCAGACCTTTTTTGCCTCGTGTCCACGTCACATGGACATAAGGTATATGTTGGCCATCGTTAAATTCCTGTGTAAGAAATTCCTGTGTAAACCGTTCTTTGCATTCCTTATGTACATGTAAGATTCCTGTGAAGGGCAGTTGTGGAAACTCTTGGGCTACAATCAATTTTGTTTTTTGAAAGACAGGCATAAAACATTGAATTTACTGTACGAGAGGCAACCACGCTGTACAGATTCAAGACACTATCTACCAGTATTCGTTTTTCCAATGGGGACTAGCATGTGTGATTGGCATTTGTGACGTACTGTTTTTATTGTTTTGTTTTGTGTCCGAGCCCACGATGCACACAACTCACCCGCAATTTAATCAATTTTGGCAACAAATGACAGGCTGAAACGTTCAAGTGATGGGTTTTTGTCCCGCAGACAAATCTAAAGATCACAATGAGCGGATTAAAAACTAACAACTAATGCATATTTTCTGCAAATAAACGAACGGGTATAAATCACAAAAATTAATTGTTAATATTATGATCAATATCTAACTTTATGTATATATCAACATGGGTCAGATCAGGGCATCACGCCAGATACGGAATGATATGGAAGTGTAACACTTGTATTCCGTTTATTTTACATTTATGATCCTGATTCGGCATTTGTAGCTATTTGTGACAGGCTGTTATAGCATTTTATTTTGTTAGTGCCCAAGCCCTCTGTTCATGCAACTC